TGTCTGAAGTTGATGCCTGTGTACCTAAGATTATGCTTTGAGGAGTCAAAAAGTCCCAGTGGGTGAGCAGCAGTGTCAAAGCTCAGCTAAAGACCAAGAAAGAAGCATATAGGCGTTATTTACGAACTCGCAGCGATTCTGATTATAACCTGTATGCATGAGCTCGAAATCAAGGTAAAAAGTCTGTCGCACTGCAGTGAAAATCTTTGAAAAAGTACCTATTACTAAAAGTGCAAAAAGGAATCCGTAAGCCTTTTTTTTGTACGCTAGTTCGAATTGTAAGACAAACGACGTTATATCTGATTTGAAATGATTTGAAAGTAGACAAACGAAAGTTTTCCTCTGATGAGGGCAAGGCTAACGTTCTTAATAGGTTCTTCAGCAGGGTGCTAACAGATGATAACTTGAACAGTGTTCCAGATATTGAGGAGCGCCCAGTCAGCTCGAAGATTACAGGCTCGAAATACACGAAGAAGAGGATCTTATAAGCGCTTGGTAGCTGTAAATCCTAACAAGTCATGTGGACCAGACGGCTTCCATCACAGATTGATCAAAGAATTAGCAACTATTGTGGCCGGTCCACTGACAGTTGTCTTTCAAAAAACCTTGAACGAAGGAACTCAAGCTAAAGTAACACCATTTTTTCAAAAAATATAACTCAGTACTCACTGCAGTGAGTGGCAGAGAGGGCATTTTCTCGTCGACGAAAACATGAAGTCAAGGACGGACGGATATGACGAGCACAATTGGGCATTTTTTGTATAAATGAGAAATGCGCTAAAAAGGTGACAAATATAGCCCCGGTAACTATCGCCCTGTCAGTCTGACAAGTGTTGTTTAATTGTAAGGTAATGAAATCTATTATGAGGGATCGGATTATCGATCACTTGACTGTTCACCACTTGCTATCAGGTTGTCAACATGGTTTTATTGCCGGTAGATCCTACACCACTAACTTATTGTCTACGTTGAACGATTGGACTCGCGTGCTGGACGAAAGGGAGCCAGTGAATGAAATTTTTGTACTCGATTTTGCCAAAGCATTTGACAGTGTTCCGCATGAGCGGCTGTTTCGTAAAGTGAAGTCTTTGGAAATTGAGGGAAACGTACTCCAATGGATCAGAGATTTTCTAGAAGGCAGACGACAACGTGTCAGTATTAACGGAACCGTTTCAGACTGGGCATCAGTACGCAATGGCGTGCCACATGGAAGCGTTATTGGGCCTATTTTGTCCGTTGCTTTTATAAACGATCTGCCAGAAGTAGTGTCCAGCGTGTGTTCCATGTATGCCGACGACACCAAAGTTTATATTTCAGTGAAGAATGCGTCAAATAAAGCGCAATTGCAAGATGATCATGATAGCTTAGTTAATTGGGCTGATACTTGGCAGCTGCGGTTTAATGCTGACAAGTGTAAAGTACTTCACCGCGAGAAGAACAATGAACAGCAAGATTACAGTATGAGAAGACATGGTTGCAACGAGAGAGTAATGGTTGAAAAGTCTAGTGTGGAAAAAGATCTCTGAGTTTATGTCGACAAGGAGCTAAAATTTTCTAAGCATGTTGAAATGCAAGCTAACACATCCAACAAATTTCTTGGATTAATCAGACGCTCATACGAGTTCCTAGATGCAGAAGCGATGAAGCAGTTGTTTGTTGCTGTCGTGCGCCCGAATCTAGAGTTTGGAAATGTTCTGTGGTCACCGAGATTTGAAAAGGACAAAAATTTAATAGAGAAAGTTCAAAGACGCGCAACAAGGATAATTCCAGGCTTGAAGGGCAAGTCCTCTGAAGATTAAAGATTATGAAGCTTCCAAGCCTCAGTTATCGACGTCTGCGTGGGGACCTCATTGAAGTAAACATGTATGCTCATGGTTTATACAAGGTCCCCGAAGGATTACTAGTATTTGAAACAAGAACCAACACCAGGGGCCACAGCTATAAACTAAAAAAACTGAGCTGCGACTTCTCCACGCGACAAAATTTCTTCTCGCTTCGAATCACCGACATCTGGAACAGCCTTTCCGATGACATCGTTGGCGCTCCAAGTATGAACGCGTTCAAGAACAGACTAGATAAAGCTATGGAAAAATATATGTTCAGATTTGAAATGCCTAGCACCATATCGAACCCGGTGGAAGTCCAGTAGCTATTTCAAACTTTCGTCAGTCGTGAAAAGATCCGGTCAAATGACACGATTTTAGATCTTCTGTGAACAAGGCACGAAAAGGAAAAGAATCGGCGACAGGCCACATCAGGTCTACACTGCAGCGCCGAGATCACTATGTTATGTTATGTTAGAAGACATGGAAATAAGTATCAAAGAACTGGCGGCGTTTTCAGCGCCAGGACCCGACGGAATTCCGGCAGTGTTGTTGGAGAAGTGTGTTGGAGCACTGAAGGCTCCGCTCACAATGCTCTGGAAAGCCTCGATAACGGAAGGAATTATCCCTGAAGGTCTCAAAGTGGGACTGATAACGCCAGTCCACAAAGGAGGTCCGAGGACAGACCCCAAAATTACAGACCTGTGACCTTAACTTCCCTTGTGATCAAGATTTTTGAGAAGGTAGTGGTCAGGAGGCTTGTCCGGTATATGGAAGAGGCTGACCTGTATACTAACGGACAACATGGTTTCCGGCGTAATCGTTCATGTTTGTTGCTGTAACTGGAGCACCATCACCGTTTTGTTGCACAGCTGGAGGAGGGAGCTGGCGTGAACGTGGTATACCTAAACTTTGCTAAAGCTTCTTACAAAGTTGACCATGGAGTGCTCTTTAGAAAGCTGTGGCTGTTGGGGGTAAGAGGAAGCCTGCTCAGGTGGATCCTTAACTTCACTACAGATAGAGTAGGGAGCTGGCGTGAACGTGGTATACCTAAACTTTGCTAAAGCTTCTTACAAAGTTGACCATGGGGTGCTCTTTAGAAAGCTGTGGCTGTTGGGGGTAAGAGGAAGCCTGCTCAGGTGGATCCTTAACTTCACTACAGATAGAGTACAATCTGTCGCAATTGGAAACTAGAAATCGAGAGAAACGAGTTTGCCGAGACATTGCCGATATTGACTCGGAACTCAACCACGCATCTACATCGTCATTTGCGGACGATACAAGAGAGCTGATGATCCCAGATGACCTAGAATGCGAGAGGTTACAGGAAGACTTATGTTCAATCTACGATTGGGCCCTAGTGAACAATATGCAGTTCAACGGCACCAAGTTCGAAGTAATGAGATACAGAGTCCGTACAGAGATTGGGATGCCACATCGCTACTTCGCATCAGAGGGCACAAAAATTGAGGAGAAGCAACTAGTTCGAGATCTCGAATTTTTGATGAGTATTGAAGCCACGTTCGATGCCTATATCGAGAAATTAGTCGCGCGCAACCGGCAAAGGATGGAGTGGATATGGCGTACATTTCGAACGAGAGAAGCCGCACCAATGATTACACTATTCAGAGCCCTCGTGCTCCCCAATCTCGAGTATTGCTGCCAACCTTGGTCGCCACTCAAGGCGGGTTCGGTGCGGAAATTAGAGGCAGTGCAACGAACCTTCCCGTACAGGATCAGCGGCATGAGGGAGCTGAAATTGAACTACTGGGAAAGGCTGAAACACCTGGGACTGTACTTACTGAAGAGGAGAAGAGAAAGGTATATCATACTGCACACTTGGAAAATTATATCCAGACAGGCTCCCAACTGAGAGTGAGACCTCCAGAATAGGGACACGTTGCAACGAAAGGGTGGGGAGACTGCAAAGTTCCCCCATTTAATAACCGAGCTGCGGCCAGAGTACAGACTCTCCGTGAGGGTCACTGTTCGTTGTAGGACCGAGGCTCTTTAATGCCCTGCCAAAAGCGCTGAGAGGAGGAGAGCTCACCCTTGCAGTTTTCATGAGACGACTGGATAATTGTTTGAGAAAGATCCCGTATTGTCCAGTAATGGGAAACTACCCTCAGCAAGTGACAAGCAACAGCATTTTACATCAGCTGGCCTAAAGGAGGGTAAAGCGACGGAACACGTCCAACGTTGCATCCGGGACCAGAGGGCAGGGTGACCTGCTTAGCGACGACTCGGAAACGGAGGACGACGAAGGCAGCGCATAAGCGTGACCGGGGACTAGGAAGTCCCGAACTCATCATAAGGTCATAAGGTAAGGTCACTGTTGCACAGCTATTTGCTGGGCTGTGTAATGCAGGGTTGTACGGCAGTTAGCTGGGCTGTGTAATGCAGGGTTATACAGCAGTTAGCTGGGCTGCGTAACTCCGTGTTATATGGCAGTTAACAGGGCTGCCTAATGCAGTGTTGTACAGCAGTTAGCTGGGCTGTGTAATGCAGGGTTGTCTTGCCCAAGAAAGAACTATTTTTCAGAGAACGAATCAGAAAACTGACCAGAATATTTGGATTCTTAGTGGGCATTGATGATTGTGAAGTCACTAAAGGCCTTACAATGAGGAGTGAAAACATCCATCCGAGATGAGGAGCAGAAAGCAAAATGTGTTAGCAATATAGGGTTGTCTTGCCCAAGAAAGAACTATTTTTCAGAGAAAGAATCAGAAAACTGACCAGAATATTTGGATTCTTAGTGGGCATTGATGATTGTGAAGTCACTAAAGGCCTTACAATGAGGAGTGAAAACATCCATCCGAGATGAGGAGCAGAAAGCAAAATGTGTTAGCAATAATATGGATAAATACTGCACCTTGAAATTCAAAAATATAAAAAGGGATGCACGAACCAAAGACTAGTATTTTCTCTGCGAGAACATTAGTATTTTCGTGTAGAGAGAAACTTTTCAACAAATTTTATGCCCTCAGATACAAAATAGTGCTTTCATGTAATGAAAATCTTTTTTTAATAAATTTCATAACCTGAAAAATAATTTTTCACTTGCCTATAGTGTTACCTTGTTACTTTAATTACGAAAAAGAAGTTATTGTTGGTAAGTAACTAATTAAATGATTAAAAGATCAATTAATTATTGATCACTGCTTGAATCCCCCTTACCTTCATAGCGCCGGTTTGGTACTCGAGATAACGCACCAGCTGACTTCAGGAGGATGACCTGCTGCTGATAAACTGAGTGCTTGTAAGATTGGCACTGGCAAACTTAATGTTGAACACTTTTGTGTTATAAACAGAAAGAAACAGATTCTGTAAAAAGTGTACGTATCAGACGAGTCATGCATCTTGAAGGCCCAAGTAACACTGAGCAAACACAACACCAGTGTGACGGTGTGACAGACGCGTCCCAAGCACACGCTAGGTCATCTGCCGGCCAAATGTAACTCAAACTCCCAGCAGTCGACGGCCAAGCAACTTCAAATTAGAATAGCATTATATCGAATGAGATGGAAGCCTAGTAAATGTTTGATATCAACTTAAATAATAGGCATAGGCTTCTATGGTCCCTTGTCATCAGGGTAAGTAAGACACTTCATAAACGCATTCAACAAAAAATCGAAGTCATACAGCAAACTAACGCATCGAAGTTCATCCAGCAAGCAATATACATGCATACAACATTAGTACTAAATGCTTCAATCAAACCATCTTAATGTATAATACGAACAATCCAAATGCATCCATCCAATCAACCATCCCAATGAAGCCACTCAACAATCCAAATGAATTCAGCCAACCATCCAAATGCATCCAACCGACCATCCAAATGCATCCAGACAAACATCCAAATGCATCCAACCAACCATCCCAAATGCATCCAACCAACCATCGAAATGCACCCAACCTACCATCAAAATGCATCCAATCAACCATCAAAATGCATCCGACCATCCATCCAAATGCATCCAACCAAATATCCGAATGCACCCAACCTACCATCCACATACATCCAACCAACCACCCAAATGCATCCAACCAACCATTCAAATGCATCCAACCAACCATCCAAATGCATCCAACCAACCATAACTTAAACTCACAGCAGTCGACGACCAGCAAACTCGAACTGAAACTCCCAGCAGTCAACTGCCAAGCAACTTTAACTTAAAATAACATCTTATCGGCTGAGATGGACATCTAGTAAATGTTAGATGTCAATTTAAATAATTGGCATAGGCTTCTATGGTCCCTAGTCAGCTTGGTTAAGCAAGACACTTCATAAATGCGTTCAACAAACAATCGAAGTCATGCAGCAAACTAATGCATCGAAGTTCATCCGGCAAGCAATATAAATGCATCCAGCATTATTAATAAATGCTACTAACAAACCATCCTAATACCAACCATCCAAATGCATCCAACCAACCGTCCAAATGCATCCAACCAACCATCCAAATGCATCCGATCAACCATCCAAATGCATCCAACCAACCATCCAAATGCATCCAACCAACCATCCAAATGCATCCAACCAACCATCCAAATGCATCCAACCAACCACCCAAATGCATCCAACCAACCATCCATATGCATCCAACCAACCATCCAAATGCATCCAACCAACCATCCAAAACAGAGTTGCAGGAAGAACAACAACATCTGAATACCACATCTGAACAGAAGACGAAATCGAACCAGCAGAAATAAACAAAACAGTACAAAAATCATCAATGATTGGAAGAATATACCACCATATACATTATATTTGCTAACGTAACTGTTAACTTAAAATGTGTTTTTTTAGATATTTTTTATACAGGGTGGCGTGCGGTAATTTTCTGCTTTGGGAATGAAATAAAAAAATTATGATCACTAGAAAAATGTATTTTCTAGAAATCTAGAAGTTGTTAGATTTCTAGAAGTTTTTCTAGAAAAACTGTACGGTAATGGAATTTATAAATTACATGGTTTTAAATAGTGTATCTGGCAAATGTCGACCTTCGCATTCCACACACTGATGCATACGTCTTCTGAAGTTTTCATGAACTCTAACAAGCATGCCCACTGGTA